CCCGTCGCCCGGATGACATTGCGTTTGCAAGCGAGCACTGAAGAGGACGAAATTCAGCAGTAAAAAAGAACTGGAAATTGAACAACATTATTTTCACTGTCTCCGCATCCTTCGAATCGTGACATACTATCCATTACACTGTCGGCTCGTAATCTTTGCAGAGCGGGAACAGCAGTTACTGATAATGAATTATTTGGTCTGAAAATTCCAATGAATCTCTATCCTGGCAATTCACCAGACATACTTTGGCAAAGAGTTATATGAAAATTAACTTCTACAGCGAAGACATGCCGTTCTGCAAAGAATATGAGACGATAGTGTAATGGATAACATGTCACGATTCGAAAGGTTCGGCGATAGTGAAGATGTGAGATTTTGTCCCCTTTCAGTCTATACCCCTGCTATAAAAGGGGCTCAGTTCACAACAACTTTAAATGTATTTTTTCTCAATATCCTGCAAGGCTAGTTCCATAAAAATTTTTGATAAATCTCAAGACTTAACTTTTCAGCATGCAAGCAATGATAGTAATTGGCGTAAAAGTAGTTATTCAAAGGTAACAGGAGAGATGAACTGTGGCCGTTAGAAGTCCAAACCGTAACCTTAAAAAAAGTGGACAGTCTAAAGAAATCAAAACGTGGAACCACCGGAATCAGAAAGTTAAAACGAAGGGTGGGATAAGACTGTAAAAATAATTTGCAGCCAATGGTAGGCCAAACCGTAATCTCTGAAACAAGCGGGAGTTTGAAGCGTGGAAAATGTGAGACGGCCAAAGTCCGAAAATTTTAAACTAGGATAGGTTTAGTTTAATAAATTATGATGGAAAAGATAGTAAGACTGTTCATTCGACACAAAACAGTATGACATGTTGAAAGGTCATCAGTTAAGCTTGCTGTGCTATGTGCCTGCATCCTGACAATAATTGACCACACGAGGAAGTAAAATCCGATCGACAGAATAAGTTGCTCAGTATGACACATATCAGTGAGTGGTGGTTGCGAGAAAGTGGAGGACCGTACAGATGGCCTCTGAAGACGTAGAGCACGCACAAAAAACAAGGAGTGGAGAAATCGAAGGACCTCGTTGTGAAATATTTAGAAAATATCAAAAAACACAGTTGGTACTAACTATACGTATGCAGTTTAGGATCGAAGGGCCAAGCACAATAAAATTCAGCGTTTAGGAACATCTAGTTATATCGGATCCCAGCACTGGTTGTTGTCCAAACACTTTTTATATTGAGGATCGATTTCTCCAAGGCCTATTCCGAGCAGTTTTGAGAGGCATTCAAACAGTTTTTTTCGCAAACCTTCGAATGCAAGATTTCATGATTCGATCTCGATCAGCAATTAATTGCTGGTAGAACTCATCCTTGCTGAGTCGCCGTGCATAGCACTGAATCTCATGCTCTTCAAGGATGCACGAAGTATTCAAATTATTCCTGGAACTGCGTGAATTAGAACCGCAGTGGTGGGTTTACAGCACATTTTTCGATAGAAAACTTTAAAAAAAACACACACAGACAGAGCTTTATGAATGAGATTCATGCAGATGCAAAAAATTTGAGTTGAGTTAGAAACAAAAAATAAGACTCTCTTTGTGTGTCCTTTCTGTGAAGTATTCGGAAGTAGCTTTATACAGATGCCAGTAGCACCCACCTGAGACTGTTAATCGCTCCTCTAGGCAGTTATAACCATCAAACATACCAATACCCACGCAATCATTCTGGGTATCCCCTGTTGGGCTCCACTCCTTCCCGCCTCTCACTAAAAGAGAACTCTGGCAGCAAGCAGTATTTCAGCCCTTTACCAACCCCACATTTCTGAAACAGAAAACCAGGAGCACTCTTCTTTCTCATTTCCACCAACCACCCCCGCCAAATGTACCTATTCCAGTCAACCGACAAGGAATCTTCGTCATATACCCATTAAGTCCATTTATTCCAGCCGTCCTCCTCTGCCCCGGAAACCCGCAGCACACCACCTTCACTTACCTACCACATTCGAATTCCCGCCATTCGCCGTGGGGCTGCCCTACCCGTCATTGCAAAGAAAAAATTTCCCGAATCGTGCATGGTGCAGGCCGAGCCGAACCAAGCCGAGTTTTAATAACTGCCTGATTGCCCGTGCTTTTTTTACCCTCGTGGCTAGCATTTAACAGCGGTTAGCGCCATTGTCAGAATAACGTACCATCTTGGATCAGCGGAATCAATATATCTGCTGATACCATTCCCGAACAATCGTCCAGCTTTTTGCTAAAACGGAAAAATTTTGTGTCTTTTAAGTATGCATTTTAGATAAGGCAGTATCACTTTAGGAAGAAAGCAAACGAAATAAGGTCGTTGGCCGATTGACCGATTTCGATCAACCGATTGATCCAGAAAAAAGAAGGTATATTTACATTCTTAAGTAACAAAAAATAAAGGAGTAACGGAAATTTTGACAAAGAAGAAATCGTAACAAAATCTCGTAAAAAGAAAGAAAAATTTTGACAAAGAAATAAGTAACAAGAAGTATAACATTCAGTGAAAAAAATAAAGAGTATTTATATAGAAATGGTAACAGATAAATATAGACAGTAAGAATCGAAACTGTGTATAACATTGGAAGGAAGAAATCGAAAAAATAACATTAGGCAGGGTAAGGACTTTCGATAAATCGTCTTATTCTTAAGGCTTCAAATTTCACCAAGCCGAACTTTTTACTCATGCGTATCGTGTCGTTGAAAAGACAAAATCTCAGTGATCTTCCTGGTTCGAGCTATTGTTTATTTTTTCCTGACAGAAAAGCAGGCCTTCACTTGGCTAAAAGTTCCGGCCACAGCTTAAAGGCAAAGAAGCCTGCTATCTCTAGCGAAAAACAGCCACGTCTCCTACGCTTGACATATGCGCATTTCTGCAAAACTGAGAAGCACTAAATGTTGTGGACGGAGCCTTTTTTCAGAAACTGTTTTGGACCAGGATGGAATCGAATCACTCCTCTTCACGTCCGTATGCAATTTGTTGCCACTACACTACCCATCCTTGTGCTCCATGTTCAGCCTGGCAACACATCTACTGTGTGTCTGTCTTTCAAAGCGAATACACTCTTCTTTTGTTCTCTTATTCCTTGTAGCAGCTTCTTGGCTGGCTGTTAGCAGCTTTTCTGCGACAATAAACCTATTTATGCGTGAAGATAATTTCTTTATTTTTTTCAGGATTGGGATGGTGATAAATTTTTAGAAATTACTGAAAAACGAACCCTGGTCAAACAAACCATTGTGGCACTGCTGTCAAGACTTGGAAAAGTAGAAGTTACTGCTTGAGGAAGGCCCCAAAGCCTATCAGCATATTCAGCACCATAAATCGTATGAGCAAAAACAGCATCTTCTAAAACAGCGAATATTTTACTGATCGCAAATTTGTCTCATGATAATGGATTAAATTATTATTATTATTTTATGAGGATCAAATTATTTTGTATTTGTATGTAATATTTTCAAAATTTGTTTTAGCACCGTTGATATTTTTATAATTTATAAAATTCCCTTCTGTGTCTTTGTAACACTTTAGCTGTCTTGATCTTTAATTTATTTTTATGCGTTTTTGCTTATGTGCAAATTGCAAAAACGCATATTGGGACGACCCTGTCT